CAATTTCTGGATTTTAAGTTCCAAGCAAAGCCAACAGTAATTAGTATTAATTAAGAATGCTAGCATGGAAAGCTGTTCCTTATCAATCTCTCACACTGCAAATGTGCTGCACAGACTCATAACTGACTAGCTTCAAAGTCCAGTAAAATGGTCATGAAAGGAGCCAAACATATTTGGATGATACTGCATGAAGTCTGCAGCTGTGAAAAAGTTTAAAGCTGTCTAACTGTGATTTCAAGAATTCAAATGAAATTTGTCCCCAATCGTTAAGATTTCTAGGCTGCTCTGACAGAATCACATCCCCTTTAGACCTTCTGGCCTAGACAAAGATTCACATTTCTGTGAAAGTGAGGGTCATTAATAAAGATCTGTCCTGTCCAACGTAACAGCCATGAGCCACATGTAGCTACTCAGCACTTAAAATGTGGCTAGTGTGATAGGAGACATACTGTAAATCTAAAATGCACACTAAACTTCAAAGATTTAGTATAAAAAAGAATATAAACTATCTCATTAATATTTTTAATATTAATTACATGTTAAAAAGAAAACCTTTGGGATATATTGGGGTTAAATAAAAATATATTATCAAAATTCATTTAACCTGTTGCTTTTTACTTTTAAAAATATGACTACAAGAAAACTTAAAATTACATATGTGGCTCTCATCATATTTCTATGGGACAGTGTTGCTCCAAGCAGGATACTGGTTTTGAGTGGCCACAAAAAGACAGTTGAATGCAGTGGTTAAGGACGAGGGCACTGTGTCAGACAGATCTAAGTTCGATTCCCACGTCTTCTATTTTCTCACTAAGGGACGTTGGCGCATTACTCACCTTCACCAAATTGCAGTTTCCTCATTTATAAAATAGGAATAATGATAGTATCCTCCTCTCAAGGATGATCAAATCTAAACTGCTCATATCTAAAGAGATTACTTGGGCTGTAAGAATGAGCACTGAGTTTTAGATAACAAAAGTTAACAACATTTTAAAAGGCACAATTTAAAAAATTAGCTGCCTATTGAGTAATAGGGTATAAATCTTAAACAGTGAACTGGATCAAGTCAAACTAAATTTAAAATACTCTTATCCTCTTCTTGCTTTTCACTTATTGCTACTTAGTAACGGAACTAATAATAAAGAAAGTGGAAATAAAGCTCAGAGTTATCTAAAAAGGGATTAGCCCTGCTTTTTCGGGGTCAACTCTCTCTGTCATTCAAAGATGCAAGCTCAAGGGAATGTAAACCAATTTTACATTTCCTTAAGAAAGACACAGTCAGGAAGGTACCTTCCCTAAAAGGCAAGTACATGTCATTAAAAAGTTAAATATTACATACTTCTTGTGTTGGAGAGTTATTCGGCAACATGGGTAGTGGAAAGTGAACAGGACAAGGTATCAAAGGGCAGGGATGCAATGCTGGGTCTGCCACAGCTTAGGCCAAGGGTACAGGGTATCCTCATATCTTGGTTTCCTCATCTATAAAATGAGGATCAGGATAGTAATATCTACCACAATAGGTTCTTTTAAAGATTAAATTGAGTCGTGAATATAAAAATGCTCTGTAAACTGAGGAGTATTACATAAATGTTAGCTATTATTATTTTAATCTATTTGATTCTAAGAATACACTGATGTAGAGCCAGTTTTCTCTATGGTGCAATACAAAAAAGCAGAAGGTAAGCAAGGGTGTCCATGTACAGGCACTTAATCTCCCAGGGCCTCAGTTTCCTCTTCCTCTTCCCAATTTACTTCACAGACTCATTGGGAGGATTTCATTAAAACAAAACAACAACAAAAGAAAAGAAAAGGCACTCAGAAAACTACATGAGTAGAAAACACTGCTGTTGATTTGGATAATCACTAAGAGTTGATTTTACTGAAAAAGAGAGAAAAATATCCTATGTTGGTTTTCCAACAACTTCTCTTACTGTAAAACATAGCCATTGTCATGCTCCAAGAGATGCTTTCTTGTAATTTTAATTACACATACTAATTTAAGATAAGAGTAGCCATAAGATGTGAACTGAAAAAGGAAGGTTAGAATATCCATTTCTCGTTCAGGTCTTGGCAAGATGAAATTTAAAAGAATCTTTGTCATCATTTTCAAATAGAACCACATTCCACACAGTATTATAACTATAACTCAAGGATATCATCCCTTCCAAGAAATGCCATTTTGTAGCCAGGCCATTAATGCTGGTGTCTCTGGAAAAAATACTCATCTACATGATTTTTGAAATCAACATTATATAATCCAGGTATCCAACAAGACCTTGATAGAATTTTTTCCAGCCATTTAGTTATTTGGGTTCTAAGTAGGACATACACAAATGCAACAATGACTTTAAAAAATGAGTCCTTAGAATTTCACACGGAGCGGCTGAGCTCTTAACCACTGTGCCACCAGGGCTGCCATAAAAATAGTAGGATAAAATAAAAGCACCATATTGACCTGTAATGAGTTGTGTACAATAATTAGAACTCATTTCTCATTTTTCCCACAACTTTTGATTTGCTTTTATTTTTTTCTAGGGGGCTTCCTGATGCTAAAAGAGTTTTTTTTTTTTTTTTTTTGGTCACAGTTGCATTTCTTCATTCATCATTGGTTTTCATCATTCTCAGTTTTTATCAAATTGTAACAATAACTTATCTAATTTTTAAAATTAAGTTTGTTTAGCTTTTTTCTGATTTATACTTTTATTTATTTCTCTTTATTTAAATGTACTTTCCTGGCATTTATTTATTTTTGTGTAGTATCCCCTCGATTTTGTGTTTTAGCATATGGATAAAGCTATCCTTAAACATAAAACTTACTTTCGATCCTGTATAGCACCTCTCACCTTATATACTATGTTGATGGTTGTGATTAACTCATAATAATGCTCATGTTCAAATGGAATTAAATAAAAACATGCGTAAACACACATAGAAAGAAGGACCGAGAGCCATGTTAATATATAAAGTAGATAGGGGAAACAGAAAATGAAGAAGATGCATCTTACTGAGTTACTGAAGCAATTAAGACAACCTCATTAAGAAAAAGACAAAAGAACAAAGCTAACTATTAACCTTAAAGGAACTGATGAGACAGCCAAAGGTGCTCTCCAGAAGTTTAGAGACATGGAAACCAGTTCAAGCATGTGGATTGTCAGCATCCTAACAAGCACAGGTAAATGTATCGCTACTCTGACTCCAACAAATTTCATCTGTTTATGTCTGTTTGTGATGTTTCCAACCTATATTTTTAAGTTTAGACGTTCAATTCCACAACACCACCATCACCAGTACTACCATGGCCTGCACCATCGCCAACATGCCTAGGTATTAAATTAATAAAAATACAAGATCAAAAGTACCCCTTCTAGGACCATGGTCTTGGGGAACATCTAGCTCAACTGGCATGACACAGCTTATAAAGACAATGCTCTACATTCTACCTTGGTGAGTAGTGTCTGGGGTCTTAAAAGCCTCTGAGCGGCCATCTAAGATACTCCACTGGTCTCATCCCTTCGGGAGCAAGGGAGAATGAAGACAACAGGATACAAGGAAAAGATTAGTCCAAAGGACTAATTGTCCACAGCTACCAAGGCCTCCACCGGACTGAGTCCAGTACAGCTAGATGGTGCCCGGCTACCACCACTGACTGCTCTGACCAGGATCACAACAGAGGGCTCTGGACAGAGCTGGAGAAGCATGTAGAACAAAATTCTAACTCACAAAAAAAGACCAGATTTACTGGCCTAAAGGAGACTGGAGAAACCCTGAGAGTATGGCCCCCAGACACCCTTTTAGCTCAGTGGTGAAGTTATCTCCGAGGTTCACCGTTCAGCCTGGGAGCAGACAGCCTCGTAAAACCAAACGAGACTAACGAGGTACAGTAGTCCAGTGACAAGGGCCAGAAGGCAGAAGGGGACAAGGAAGCTGGTGATAGGGAACCCAAGGTTGAGTAAGGATATTGTTGATGTGTTGGGAGATTGTTAACCATTGTCATAGGGCAACATGTGTAGTAACTGTTAAATGAGAAACTATTTTGTTTTGTAAGCCTTCATCTTAAGTGAGAATAACAGCACAATTGGAAGAGCGTAGTCAATGTCACTGAACTGTCCATGTAGAAATTTTTGAAATGGTGTATCTTCGGCTATGTGTATTTTCACCAAAAAAAAAAAAGGCTGAGAAGTTAGAGGGTTGACGTGTTGTGGGGTTGTTAACCAATCTCATAAAACAATATGTGTACTACTGTTTCATGAGAAACTATTTGTTCTGTAAGCCTTCACCTGAAGTACAATAAAAAAAAAAAAAGAAAAGAAAAGAAAAAAGTACCCCTTCTGTTTCAGTCTTCAGTGATACTAACTGCATTATCAACCTTTAACAGCGCAGAGTGAGACGCAAACACCGCTGATTATGCCTAAAGTCACTCGTAAGAGTGAGAGTTATCACTACTAATTCCAGGCAAAGCTTACTTCGTTTCTTACCTATAGAACAAATTGGGTATAGGTTGCAGTCATGTCATTTGGCTACACCTTTAGAGCACCTGCTTTTCTTAGCCAGTACTCGTCCCAAAGTATATTCACGGAATGCTTGTCTTGGGAAATGCCCTACTAAAAAAAATTCACTTTGGGAAATGCTGTATACCACATTCCCTTCTTGAAGATTCACAAGACACCATATTAGCATATTGCAGTTTTTTGCAATAAAGGAACTATTTACCTTTGCTTAACCCAGCATTTCTTAAGTTTGTCTGACCATTCTTACCCCTTTATAGATCATCCATGAGCATCTTCCAGAACTAGTATTTCCAGAAAGCTACTCTGAGAAATACTCCTTTGCACCGATAAGGAATAGAATTAATTTAGATGAATATTACATCTTCCCAAAGCTTGAAAGCCCTAATTATTCAGCTCAGGAATAGGCTGACACCACAACTAAATGCGTGTTGAGAAGGAAAGGATTTCTTGAAATTGCAAAGCCCCCAGATCAATGGCAGACAATCCACTTACTTAAGGAGATTGCCGAGGTTGAAAAGAGCCCGGTTATGCTGTGGATTTAGCTGGAGAGCCCTCTGATAGTACATCTTTGCCTCTGCGGTGTCTCTGGTCAGTGTTCCAAGGTTGTTGAGGGCACTTGCATGGTGTGGATACAACCTGAAAAATTAGAAATAGTAAGCCATGATTGTTCAAAAACCTCCAAGTTGGACACAATCTGCTTGTTCTTTTTCCCGCAGCTGTTTCACAACCAAAACAAAACACTGAATTCTTTTTTTAATGGTATGTCTGTGTCAAAGCATTAATGCTCACCTTCTTTTTAGTTAATAAAAACAGCAGTTTAAAACTGCTTTGTGTGTATAAATTTGGCAGAGAAGCACATACTTAACACTTAGTGGTAAAAATAAATAACCCCCAAGTAGTGCAAGATTTAAATAGGATGCAAATCTACCAGGGTTAAGTAAATTTTAGTCCTTTGGGACCTACAATTACTTTCAACTGCCTTAGGTAGAAAATCCTCCTCAAGTGCTGAGTGTCTCTACCCTGGTGGGACTGCTGTGTCCACTGTTTACACAGATCTTGGGAATTCCTTCGGTGAAGGATTTATATAAACATTCTTGGATTAGAGCATCATTACTAAGACCACCATTACTGAGAAAGGATGATACATAATGTCTCCCCATAAAAATAAATCCCCCAAATGGCTCTCCATCTTCACTCTCTTTATTCTATTTTATCTAATTTCCCCCTCCTACTGCTGTTTTGGAGCCTTGGTGGTGTAGTGGTGAAGTGTTAGGCTGCTAACCAAAAGGTCAGCAGTTTGAATCCACCAGCTGCTCCTCGGAACACTATTGGGCGGTTCTACTCTGTCCTATAGAGTCTCTGTGAGTCACAATTGACTCGACGGCAACAGGTTCGGTTTTTTTGGAACTGCTGTTTGGAACCACCAGGTCTGACAGACTTCTTGAAATGAATTCCTGGTAAAATACTTAAAAATTTAAATAATGCAGAATTATGTGGGGGAAAAAAAAAAAAAAAGCATTCCTAATGTTTGAAAGCAAATGTAAAGGAGAACTGGGGATAAATCCATAAATGAAAGTTGTTTTGATTAAGGAAGGAAGGGAATCAATTTACTTTCTTAACTTAAAAGTTTAAAGAAGCCAAATCAGTGCAGCTACATAATTTAGCTGTTTCTGCTACATTTCTGGTGGACATATTTAGCAGTCTAATAGGTTCTCTCCATCTCTGTCACCCAAAGTACTTTGAATAAGCCTGTGGAGCCGGCTTTTAATGTCAAAAAGCCAAGATAATGCCTAAGCAATAAAAACAGGATCTATGCTTGCCAAGTCTCTTGACAATCAAATGCCAGGCTTGCCCTGCTGTTCCAGACCTTCTAGGAAGATCAATTTCATTTTGGGAGAGAAGGGATTCCTATTAAAAGGCCAAGGAAGACAAGATGCATAAGCTTTTTTAAATCTTTGCTTAACCCAGCATATCCTAAATTTATTTGACCAGGTAATCCTCCCTTCCCTACTCTCTTACAGAACAGTTCTGAATACTCTTCAGAACTAGGAAGACACTCCGGGTAATGCTCCTCTTGAATGACAAGGGATGGAATCAACTCAGATGAATACTACATTCTCCCAAAGCTTGAAAGCCCTAATTTTTCACAGAGGCTTTAAGGCTGTTTGGAGAAATATACTGTGAGAAGAAATCAGGCAAAAGAAAACACCCTGAGCCAGCACATGTGCTCTTGCTTGCCTCTCTCTGGTCACCTGTAATAAGCAAAGAGAACTTTAGGGTCCCTGGTATGAGCCCCTTAACACTCAACCTCTGCAGGGGCAGGAACTGAGGGGATAGCACTAGATCTGAGATGCCGCAGAGGGTATTAGAGCTAAGATGAGAGGCAAAAAAAATGCTCTTGTACCTGCCCATCCACTCCATGCCCAGAAAAATCTCTGGACAGACTGTGTCTAAGGATTGCTTTTGAAGTGGATACAGAATGCACATTACAGCCAGAACTCAAATTCTTCTAAAGAAGTTTTTTGTTTGTTTTGTTTTTTTAAAATTTGAAGCCAAGCTCTGTGACCTCCAAAAGATTTAAGGGGTGCCCAGTGAACATTGTCATGCTGGTCGTTTCCCTGATGACAGGCAGTTATAGAATGCATACCTGGGAAGCTTTTCTTCCTGCATCTCACTAGAGGTAACTTCTTAAAACCATCTCTTTTCCTTACTTCTTTGCCCTTGAAACAAACTTTTGCACTGAAAGCACTAATTATGGGAAAAGACAGTCTAAATTCAGTAAGAGCTTCCGTAGTGGGCTCACCTGTATGTTAAAGAGCCTGCCTGCAATATCACACAGGTGGTCCTATCCAGCTGGTTCTCGGCCCACCTTTTGGATTTTATATTCGCTCATGACCCCAGTGCCACTTAAATGAACAGTCATGGCCTTTCAAAGTTCACTAACTACAGCAGTGTTTTTCTCCTCTTTTTTCTTCAATCAGATCAGAGTATAAGTCCAGCCGTGAACTCTCCAAAAACAGAAACAAGTAATGAGAAAGGAAGTAGAGAGAAATATAAGCACTACAAAAGAAAAGACCTTTAATGTGCCTCCTGCTCTAAAGAACTTGTTCTACAGCTGCAGGCCCATGAAGCTTAGGAGGGGGGGACTTCATGGCTGGAAACAGGAAAGAGGCTCGATGCAAACAAAAGCCCTAAGCCATCAACGAGGGGGACTGCTGGTATTTATTACTGATGCTATTACCAAGCAGAGCCCTCCATCTGGAAAATGTGTAGATATTATTTATTCCTGGTAATAGTAAGGGTCTGCAAGCAATATCCTCTCTCACTGGGTATCTGATTAGGTAATTCCTTTGAGCTTCACCTAATCACATGCAAGCATTGCATTATTTATGAAATAAAGCTGAATTTCATTAAAAGGATTCTTTCAACAACCAGGTCAGGAAAAACATCACTTTTTAATTTTGATTTTTATATAAATGTAGATATTTTATTTAAACATACATTTTTCTCCTATATGCTGCAGACCAATGCAAGGACAAATTTTCTGTGTTTACTTTGTGTATGTGTGTGTGTGTGTGTTTACTTTTTAAATAAACAAATTAGATTGGGTCTAATTCAATTCTGTGGTCTCTAGGAGGGGAATTTTCTATTGCAAAGATGAATAATTTAAGAGATGTCTGTGTTGCTACATCAATGGTCAGAATAAATTAAGCACATCTTGACTTTGACTTCTGCAGGTACGTTTTACAAAAGTCCTGTTAATTATTCCCTCCCCCATCTAAAAAACCCCACAAAAGCTTCACTGAACTGGGACAGACTGGTGATTTCCAGGCCCTCTTTTGAAGATCAGTTAGAACAGGAGTTGCATTTTCTTTCACACAGTCTTATTCAACATTTGTATTGCTTATGGGGACTCTCTTGCCGTTTCTTTATTTTATGATTTTTTTATATCTGTGAGTTCAATTTTAAAAATTTATTAGAAGGGAATGTATTACATTGTCACACAGTTCTGAGGCATAAGGAAGCTTATTTTTCTCTTTAAAAAAAGAAATACGGGTATATAGTTCTAGGAGCTAAAGAGAATTATTTTTTCAAGTAATGGAAAATTCAGATTCTGAATAAACACAACATCCATTTGAGCATTTAAAAGGTTCTTAATTTTTATCTAGTGGCACTTCCTTACGCAGAACTAATGAAGAAGTAGTCAAGGACAGTGTTATTCTTCTCCATTCCCAGTTATTTTCTCTTTGAAAATGTAAACTGGAAATAGTGACTGGGAGAGAAGAGCTGCCTAAGTGAAAAATGGAGGCAGGGACCAAAGAAAATGGGACCAAAAGGGCTTATGACCGTGTTAATGATGCTTTACATTTTATGGAATGCTTTTTCATACATAAATTATCTCATTTAACTTTCATAATTCTTTAAGTAGAATTTTTTATTGTACTACTTTACAGTTGAGGAAGGAGAGGCTGGGAGAAATTAAGTAAATAATAGACTATATAAAAAAAAAAAAGAAATACCTCAGAAGTACTTGTGTTCTTAAGTATTAAGAAGGCAGATGGTTCTTGTAAATCCATTTGTTTTCCCAAACAACACATGAATGTTTCAACCTTCGACAAATATTCTGCTACAAATGAAAGCTTCCATTTGAAATAATTTGTCCTTTTTGCTTTTTGGCCAATTCATTCAACTATGGTCTTTTAGGAAATAGTTCTCAATAACAAAAGTGAAATAAACTCAATACTTAGGAAACGTGGCCACTGAGATTCTTATCAACTGGAAAAATCTGTCTCCTGACCTACAAAATAATCATCTCTCTGAAAAGCAGAGTATTATGAAACACTAATTAGAATCTACAACACTCAGTAAATGTATAAAATGTAGATACATGCTCTGTAATCTACTGTTCTTAAGCTTTGATATCAACTAAAAGTCCATAGACTATTAATAAACAAAATATAACTACAGTTTAGTTTTATATTCTATTTCAGTCACTTACTTCAGATTTTGTACATTCTGTCCAAAAGTTAAGGATGCTGTCAATTTTTCATTATTTGAATACATTATAAAGCATTTCTTTATTCAAGTAATACTGTATCATGTGTTCCAGTTTGCAATTTCCTTTTAGATTACACACCCTGATTTATTTGCCTGATTTTCATGCCACACAATTTATTTGAGGTTAACTATGCTAAGGTCAGATGTTTATTATCTATTTCCTGTTGAGAAAAAAAGAATCCAAGAGAAAAAAAAAATTACTGGGAAAAAGATTCAACCATAAAACTGGAATTTCACTGGACTAAAAAAATACTCAAAGTAAACTTCATCTCAGGAGGTAATAGCATTTTCTCAACCATATTCATCTCTGCCACTTCTTAAGTGCCTGGTTCCTTCATGTTATAATATCTGAATCTTCCTGTCAATAAAGTGCACCTGCGTAACAACGATGAGTCGGAGCTGACTCCATGGCAACCAGTAGCAATGATGATTTCAGTAGTCTGATTCTTTGTTTGAAATTGTTATTAACACCCACTAAACAAGTGTTGCAATCTTCTAAAATCCTATTGTACTCCTACTGATCCATAACAAATAGCCTTGCAGGAAAAAAAAAAAAAACACCTCAACTACAATTTAAG